CACACAATCAGAGCATCCCCATTAAAAAAAGTTGACTAAACTTACCAACATCTGAGTTGCAGAGAGCCTGCAAGGGAGGCATCATAAGAGGACAGTGGCATATAACAGCTGCTTCTGCTCCTGCCTCCACTCGCCAAAGAAACAGAATGGCCAGAGAGATGAAACAACTCTTCATTATCTGAGTCATCTTTGGAAACTTAAAGATGATGAAAATGGTGACAGCTGTAAAGAGAAATGCAAAAAAGCAGAAAGCAGATTTTTAAAATCTCTTAACAGAGAAGTGAGTTTTATACCCAATTGTTGCAAACAGGCTCCGCCCCTCCTGAGGTGATCGGCCCTATGAAGGCCGATCTCCTGCATGTTTTAGATTTTTCTCTGATCATTGGATCAGAAAAATTAGTTTGCTGATTTCTCTGATCTAGCAACTCTCTCTATGTCTGACACATAAAGAGAAGATCAACTGATTTTAGACCCTGTTTACACTAGACCGGTCTCTGGATATACTAATGTTTACTGGGGTCAATATACAAAAAAATCATCCAATTGCATGGAACCACTGCAGTAATGTATCAGGCAACGTTGCCAAATGGGAAGTAGTAAAGTGTTTTACTGTTCTCTTAAAATTATTCTTTTTTTAGTGAACACAACAGATATGCTGTATACGACTCACTCAGTCATGTATGCTGCATGAGAGACTTGTAAGATAAGGTGTGTGGTGTTTGGTGAAAATGTGCACTGAAAAAGAGGAGCAAAAAAATCAAAATTATTAATATGGCAACCCTGATCATGCGCTGAGCATGCAGCTGCTGCATGATACTTCAAACCTGGTGAATAAGCTAATGTTCCATTGGAMCTAGGATGCTCTTTGTGTTTTGCTTTTACAAGCTGCAAAGGGTGAGTAACACAGAAACCCTCAGGTGTCTGTAATYTATTGTAATTGTTGTTAGTTTAGAAGAAACGTTTGCTGTGTGTCGGTGGTTTGAACATACAGTATATGCGCTGCTGGGTGCTTCTCAAAATGTCCACTCTGAGACCAGGATTCAGAAATCTCCGGGTTCAGAGAACCACGGTTGGTGTCGTGTACACGATCGGCCGAACCACAGAAAAGAACCTGTGGTTTCACACAAAATCTGCATCGTGTGAACAGGGCCTTGGATTGGATCATGACCAGAGGTAGCAGTTCAACAATCTGAGTCAGCTTTGGAACTTATAAAATGTCAAAAATGGAGCCAGCGGTCAAAGAGTGATGAAGTCAACCTGAAAGCAGCTTGGACATTTTAGTAGTTCTCCTCTTGAACAGAATCCTCAAGGTACATCAGGCGCCACCACCGCCTTGCAGACAAAAGGATGCACAAAGCACTGGGAGATCAGGAGCTCTCAAGTTTTCACAATCAGCTAATTTTATCATTCTGTGTGACCCTTGAAGGGAAGGACAACCGGTTTTAAGTTGGACCATGACCAGAGGCCCTTTAACCCCACCTTAGACCAGTTCTCTGTGATGTTGGAGGTCAGGACTGTGGGGTGTGAAACAGCAAAATGGGAACCATTGAAACTACCTGCTGGTGGCCGATGTTTGGCAAAAGTGTCACTAGTCAAACCACAAACATACACAAATACAAGTACTTCTCTTCTATACAGCATTTTCATAACGACTGAAATTAACACAGTTACTTGATTATGGTATAGAATTTAATTATGTGCCTTATAAAAACACTACAGTATGTATTTTATATTAGTTTTATATATTTATTTTATTTGAGACCATTTCAGAAAGGTTATTTATATTCAGTGTTACAGTTGTTCTTACAGGCCTGAAGCAGGCTCAACTGGGCGGCACTCAAGAKGTAAAAGAAACATGTTGCTTATGTTTGACTTATCTTTTAAGTCTATGAGGAGGMATAAGAGCTTTTATGTACTAGTTTTATTCAATTGTAAGAGATTTATTGATTCAGATTGAGTCTTAAATGCATTTCACCCATACATATTTATGTTGAAGGTGATTAAAAAGTATTTTATAATCAACGTGAAATCAGTGTTTTTAGTACTATGATTAAGATTGTTGTGAGAACAACTAGTTCCTCAAGGATTGTAGCGTGCAGGTGTGCAGATAGGATTTTTGAACGGGGGTGGGTGGTGGGGGGGTTGACAAAGCTTTCAGCAAATGATCTCCCTCTTTGTTTTTGTAGGTGTGGAGCCAAGATGTCGGGTGTGCTGTCTTGTGTTTTCTCAACATATATTTCACAAATCTTCCAATCTCTCTTTCACTCTTTCTCATTATGTTTCACTTTTTTTCTTTCTCTTTCTTTTTCTCCTATTAAAAAAGCCACTGACGATGAAGAAGCTAAGATACTAGGAAAAAAAAGCCAGATCTTACATTATTTACTTGTACAAACTGTTTCCTATCCTTCAAATAACTTGCTACCCATTGTAGTGCTGGTCCTCTGATACCATATTGATTCAGCTTTCCAAGAAGAATGGTGTGGTCAATCGTGTCAAATGCCTTCCTCAAATCAACACAAACACTAACACAGCATTGCTTCTGATCAACAGCAGTTGTTATTTGCTCCATTAATTCCATTAGAGCCATTGATGTCGACCTATTTTTCATAAACCCATACTTAAAGTTATTTAAAAATTTTTGTTTATCAATAAATTGATCTAATCTTTTACAAATAATTTCTCCACAATCTTTGAAAACTGCAGCAACAAGGAGGTTGGTCTATAGTTTGTGAACATGCATTTCTCACCATTCTAATAAAGTGGAATTACCTTGGCTATTTTCATGTAATCTGGAAATATTCCAGTTGAAATTATAAATTACATATATATGGAAACGGCTCAATAACACAACC